AGCCCCACATCGGGCTCCCTGCTCAGTGGGAAGCCTGCTTCTCCCTCTGCCTGCCGCTCCCCCTGCTTTGTGCTCTCTCTCTGACAAATAAATAAAATCTTAAAAAAATAAATCTTATTAAACGGGTGAAATTAGTCCAATTTATTAAGTTATTATGATATATATATATTATTAGGTTTCTTATAGGAAGAAAATTACTAAAGCTACTCTCCACACTGAAATCTGCCATAATGCAGTATTCAGTTTCACTTCCTCATTCTACAGCAACTCCAATTACATGTGCGCTATTTTCTGGGTGCTATAAAGAGTTAAATAGGGGTGCCTGGGTGGTGCAGTCAGTTAGGCATAGGACTCTTGGTTTCAGCTCATGTCATGATCTCAGGATCATGGGATCAAGCTCTGCATTGGGCTCTGCACTCAGTGCAGAGTCTGCTTGAGTTTCTCTCTCCCTCTCCCCCTTCCCCCCATGTGTGTGCACACACTCTCTCTCTCCTACTGTCTCAAATAAATAAATCTTTTTAAAAAAAGAGTTAAATAGCCAAGAGCAATTCTTTTTTCTTTTCAATTCTAAGGATAATTAAAAAAGCCAGTGAGCAAAAGCAATCACAGACCACTAAACTGATAATACTGGGTGGAACACATGTTGGACAGTACCCTTCACCTTCACAACTTTCTATATGTATGACTGGCTTTCTTCTTCCTGTCTGCAAGGAAGGAAGGAATGGATTGGGGGCGGGGGGGAGACAGACAAATAAATCTGTATTTAACCTGCAAGAACCCTGAAAAGTTGAAAGGGACTCATAACTAATAGGGGAACAGAAGCAGTATAACATGTTTCAGTCCTACCACAAAGACCCATGTTTATAAAGTAAAAAAGAAAAGATAATTCTGTATGCGGGGTAACAAAATGTGCTCAATATAACTACTGTTGGAGATCTCCCATCCTTCTCCTATCCCTTTTCTCACTGACTCCTCAATTTCAGATTCAAAACATAATTTCAGAACTTCAAACTGATCAATCCCAAGAACTATAAGAAGTTTCTCTTGAAAGTCATTTTACTAGAGTAAGAGCTAAGCCCTGAGTAATCAACTATGCACATGGTAATTAGAACATTTAATTCTTTTACAAAACTTTCTTATTCTTTAAAAAAATTAAAAGTGAAATCAAGAAATAGAACACACAGTAGTAACCTACCATAGAGTTCCACTTGGGATTCAAATTAAAAACCCAATCACTAATACTTTAGAAAGGTATCCACCCTTTAGGGAAAGAAAATTTACATCTCCTTTCTAGGAGATATGAAACACAGGTCTTAGTGCAGGCCTATTAACTCAATAAAAAAAAAAAAAAGGTAGGGCTTCGGTGTGCAGCTAAAATACTCAGATTTTTAATACTCGTAATTTATAAATCACTTTTCATGAAATACCTAGAACAACACCTTTATTTAGCAGATTCAAAGGGCATACAGCAATTATACAGATTATTACAATAATAAAATAGAAAGCATTACAAAAAACATACCTATAACAATACCTGTATTCACTTTTACTGGCATACAAATATAGCCTCATTTTCCCATCTAAACATTGAAACCCCTAATCAAATGGCCATTTCAAGTCATTCTTATTAATGAATACTTCTAGTACTCTAAACCTGTTTAATATGTCCTAATTTCCCCCAAGTCATCTGGCAAATAGTATGTTCTCAATAAATACTAGCTCTCTACATTACGTTTACTAAATATAAGCAGGTAACAGTTAAGTTGAAGCCCAAAGTGTTACCCATATTAGTGGCTAAAAATTTTTCTTCAAAGTTATTATCAGATGGGCCCTAACAATAGTTCATAGATGTGCATCACTGATGCATCTGTTCTTTAGTCTATCTCTACTCTAACAAGAATAATTCCTGTTCTTTCAGGGTCTATGACATAGATTATAACTCCTTGAGGACTATGAAGAGTACATTTCCTCAAAAGTGATTCTGAGTTACCTTAATATACTGTACTCAACAAAAAAAACTAGAAAGTGACAGGCTAAAGAAAATCAAATTTTAGTGTAAATCATGTTCAAGAGAAATAGTAGCACCTGCCTGTTTGAATGTCCTTCCAGAGAACCCAGGATTTAGAACTGTCTTCAAATATGATGAAGCAGCTCTGTTTCAATATGTTTATCTGAAATACAGAGGAATATTTATGGTGATTTCTTTGTAAGTCAAAAACATGAAGTTAAATTTAAATTCAAAATTATTAAAAGTTTACTGCAAAAAACAGCAAAAGATATATAAAGGTAACCTGCCTTTTTGATAGTTCCAAGATAAAACAAGCCATCTGACCATCTAGCTAGGACATCCTGACCCTCTTCAAATTTACATGCTGGCTTTTTGACTTTATGTCCATCCTGTAAAGACAGCTTGGTCAAGGATGTTGGGGTCTTTTGGTTTCGACGTAAAGGAGACCGCTTGTGGACCAGTGAATTACCTGCCCCTGTAGAGTCTCTGTTTAGGAAATAAAAGACCATATATAAGATTAACTTGCTTATAGAGCTTATTTATATACCAGTGATATGTTTTATGTATTAATCAAAAATTCTGATTTATTAAAAACCTTAAATTGGGGGAAAATATAATAGGTACCTCAAATTACAAATACTCTCTAGGAATAAATAACTTTAAAAGAAAATGACAGGTGTTCTCAAAATTCACTCAGTGCCTACCCTTACTGAGACAAGGATTCAACAATCACTCTAAGATCACACATATTCAGGGCAGCTATTATCAAAATAACAGCTCTAAGTAGAAGTGGGTCATGAGCAAAGGATGCCTTAAATCTCATGACTGGATTTAGATAAACTAAAAGAAGTTACATGGCACAATTTCATAAGCACATGGAAAAGAATAAAAACGATTATGCCACATGTAGTGAAAACACACTAACCGGTGACTTTGGGGTAGTTGGGTATATTCAACTCATTGGAAGAGTAGTCATGACCTCCTTACAGGGAACCACTACTGAATTAAGTCTTGTTTATTGATGGGAATGTGTCCCAAGTCCCTCAAATATAGACTAGTTTAAAAAAATTAAGAACCACCAATTTCACAAAATCATACTCAAATGAGAGGTATAACATCATTTACATTTTTTAAGCAAAAGATCCCAAAATTATGTATTCCAAAATTACATTATAATTTGTATATTAGTAATTCCATAAACAGCATAGCATAACCACAGCATAACTACTATCTACTTTTCCTCAAAGGTAACAAAGCACTGTTTAGTTTCATTTTCTTAACTTAGATGCTTTACTAATTAAACATACCACAATGTATAAAATGAGACAGAGAATAATTCAAAAGTAGATAGTATAAAAGTTAAATAAAAATAAAACAAGTGGGGAAGAAAAAAAGTTTCAATACCTAGGAATTGGGACTAGCTAATTTCAATACCTAAGAATACACAAATCCTAGGAAATTCTGTCATGAGCTTCAACATGAATGAACCTTGAAGACATTACGCTAAGCAAAAGGAGTCAGACAAAAAAGAATAAATATTATATAATTCCACTTATATAATGTAACTAGAGTATCAAATTCATAGAGACAGAGAGCAGAATGGTGGTTGCCTAGGGCCAGGAGGAGGTCTGCATGCAGAGTTAGTGTTTAAGGGGTAGCAGAGTTTCAGTTTGAAAGATACACTACATTTTTTTTCTTCAAGTTTTTATTTAAATTCCAGTTAGTTAAAAAATAAAATAAAATAAATTCTAGTTAGTTAATATACAGTGTAGTATTAGTTTCACATGCAGAATTTAGTGATTCATCACTTACGTACAACACCCACTTCACAAGTGCCCTATCATCAATTTAACCCACCCCCCTACCTACCTACCCTCCAGTAATGAAAGACATACTACAAAGATATCCAAAGGAATAATGATTGATATCATCCCAAATTTGCTGCAAACCATTAATCTACACATCCAAGAAGCTCAACAAACTCCAAGTAGGACAAATGGCAAAGTGACCTATACCCAGATTTACCACAGTAAAAATGCTGAGAGAGAAAGAAAAAGAACTCATCACATACAAGGAAACTCCAGTAAAAATAATTTCTCATCAGAAACAATGAAGGCCAGAAGGCAGCGAGATCCTATATTCAAAGTGCTGAAAGAAAAAACTGTCAACCTAGAATCTTATACCCAGCAAAATTGCCTTTCAAAAATGAAAGCAAAATAAAGATAATCTAGGATAAACAAAACTGAGAGAATTGTTGCTAGCAGAGCCACCTTACAAGAAATACTAAAGGAAGTTCTTAATAAGGTTGAAAGCCAGTAAACCAAAGTAGAAATACAAATCAACACACCAAAAAAAACCAAAGAGCACTTGTAAAGGTAATTAAGTAATATTGTGAATGTCTTTTATAACAGTATAAATGCATATTTCTTCTAACTCAAGTATATGGAACAATATGTGTATAATTGAATTATAAGGCCTATAACATATTTGGCAATAACAGCACAAAGGCGGTAGTGGGAAAAAAAATTGTATTAAAGTAAAGAAATGACACCAGATAGTTATATCAACCCATAGGAACAAACAAAGAAAACCAAAAATGGTAAATAAGAAAGTAAATGTAAGTGAAGTATGTCACTTCAAGGAAATATCTGCCAAATACCCATGTTAGTCACTGTTTCAAGTAAAAATGGTATTCCATGAAAAAGCTGCTACTTCAGCTGACAACTCAAATAATGACATAAATATCCTATCTATACTTCCTATTTCATCACACATGACATTAAAAATCTAAAACTCAGGGGCGCCTGGGTGGCTCAGTCAAGCATCTGCCTTCAGCTCAGGTCATGACTTTGGGGTGCTGGGATGGAGCCCTGCGTCAGACTCCCTGCTCAGGAGGGAGGCTGCTTCTCCCTCTGCCCCTCCCCCTGCTTGTGCTCCTTCTCTCAAATAAATAAATAAAATTTTTAAAAAATATATAAACTCAAAGTTAAAGTTTAGTAAAAACAACTTTTACTGAAAAAAGTTTCACATCAGGAATGTTCTTAAGTGAAATAGGGTTTTCTGTGTATGCGTGCATTTTGGTGGGTTCTGGGGGGGTTTTTTGGTTTTTGTTTTTTTACTGTGTGTGCTCAACAATGAAGAATACTGCCTTGTTTCATGCTAAGGCACACAGCAGTTTGACCATTGTTTTCATGCCATCTGTACAGATAGACACAATGAGAAAGGCAAATAACATCTAAGTATTATGAAAATAATTTTGACCTTTCAGACTCCTACCAGGATCCATGGATCACACTGTGAGAACCATGCTCCAAATAAAGGAATATATGTTGCCATATATCTAAATAAAGGGAATGTGTCTGCTATAGACAGCTGTGAGGAAAAGGCATTTAGTATGATAAGGGGTTAAAAGTCTGACAAGACGAGTGCCAGAGAGAAGTAAAATGGAGGATGAATCTACCATTAATTCTACCAACAGGAGTGCTCAAGGCTAGGCTGAGAACCTTCTTTCTCCAGACACAAAAACAATTTAATGTTTTCATTCACAATATTAAAATGATTCTATCAGCAAGCACTTTCTGGAAAACTATAAATCCAGGGGTCACTTGAGGGATTTTGCTTTCCTTAAAGAAACTAACCAAAGCCTGAACAACGTAATTAATTATAGGTGAAAGATGACTTCAATAGAATGCCAAGGTGGCTACTGGGACCTAGAATCTTCCAATTCTAGACTGGTAAATGTACAAAAATCAAAACTGCAACCATTCCCAGATTGGTTTTGTATGCTGTGCTATTGCTTCAACAAATTATTTTTCACGATGGTCTCCCATCTTACTCTCTTAAAATGTTGTAAGGATCTTGGAGGAAAAAGAAAACTAAAATTCCCTTGATCCCTTGTGCTCCCTGCTCCCTTCCACCACTCCTCCTATTTCTTTCCTCCCATTCACAGCCAAACCTTTGGAGGAAATTTATACACTCTTAACTCTCTCTCTACTATAGTCTTCCCCATTTTTCAGCCCACTGCAACACACATCACCATTCCCTCACCCAAACACTCCACCAAAAACAGGGAATGTGACTGTCTTACTCTTCACAGTTGTAATCCTCAATACTCTGCCTAGGGCATGATACATAAAAGGCAGAAAGGTCATATGGAATTTATAAAGTTCAAGCTCAATTCAAGAAAAATCTATATTTGGGCGCCTGGGTGGCTCAGCTGGTTAAGCGACTGCCTTCGGCTCAGGTCATGATCCCAGGGTCCTGGGATCGAGTCCCACATCGGGCTCCCAGCTCAGCGGGGAGCCTGCTTCTCCCTCTGACCCTCTCCTCTCTCATGCTGTTTCTCTCTCGCTCGCTCTCTAATAAATAAATAAATAAAATCTTTAAAAAAAAAAAAGAAAAATCTATATTTAAGAGTTTAATTATTTCTAAAAATAATTGCATGCACAAATAATCTGTTTTGTTCTGAATAAACAATAGAATCTAATTCACATACTACAACAAATACACACCAATCTTTTATTCACATGAACATAAATTATATATAAAACTGCATTAATAAACAGGTATTTATAAAGTCTTACTCATTTAAAATTTTCTGCCCAAAGAAACTTTACAAAAAATAAAGCAAGAAAGTAAAGCAAATGACCAATGATAGCATAACTCAAACATAACCAAGATAAACTCTGTACATTTATCCCCCCCAAGGTAATTTCTCCCATTATTGTCACTGATTACTTCCCTCCTCTCTAGAATGTGACCTTTATTAGAAGCCAAATTAGTTTTTCTAATTTTAGAATTTATTATTTCCCTTCTGATTAAAGGTAAACGTAAGATAGTAAAATAAATAATACAGAAAGAGTGAAAAGTGAAAATTCCCCATGCTTTCTCCCACAAAAGAACGGTTAATGTCCTGACTTTTCTTATGTATATACCACATACACAGCCATAATTCATATAAATGTTTTAAAGAGTGGAAATTACATATACTCTTCTATAATTTTCCTCACACAATAATTTATCTTGGACAATGTAATATCCATCTATATAAGTATAAAACAAAAGTATGTAAGATCATCTTTTCTTCAAATGCTAAGCTACTTTCCAACTACTACCCAACTGAGGAACATTTAGTATGTTTCCATTGTTTTACTATTACAAGCAATATAAAGCTCATCCTTTATTTTTTTAAGTATTCCTGCTACTACACGAGAAAAATTCAGAGAATAATTACTACAACAAAGAATATACACATTTTTCCTTTTTGCTGTGGAAAATTACAAACATGCAAAAGCAGACTAAACAAGTATAACAAACCATCAGGTATTCACCATTCAGTTTCAAGTATCATCTCATGACCAATACTATTTCATTTAAACACCCCATTCCCCAACCTACATTATGTATGTATTTTAACTGACAATGTCAAATGAATCTCAAAAAAAGTAGTCTCACTGACACTACCAGAACAGCACTTGAAGGCCCAT